GTAAAAAAGGGAATTTCGCATTAATTTCTGTGCGAAACGAGGAAAAATGCGAATTTTGCATTGATTTTGGGCGGGGAAAAGGGGAAAAAAGAGAATTTTACATTAATTTCGGGTGGGAAAATGGGAATTTTGCATTAATTTGTGGTGGGGGAAGCAGCCGGTGCTGGGAATGGGGGAAAATGGGAAATTCGCATAAATTTTGGGGAGGGAAAATGGAAAAAAGGGAATTTTCTGTTCATTTTTTGGGGAAAAAAAAGGAAATTTCCGTGGAATTTTGCGCTGGGGAGCAGCCCCGGCTGTGAAAATGGGGGAAAAAAAGGGAATTTCCAACTTTGAGCGTGGAAAAAGGAGCGGCTGCGGCTCCTCCTCCCTCCCCGCGCCCCGAAAATCCCCAAATCGGGGAAAAATCGGGGGAAAAATCGGGGGAAAATCGGGAAAAATCGGGAAAAATCGGGAAAACCCAAAGCCCCCGCTGGGGGAATTCCATTTTCTCCGCTCTGGGTTTCCAAACCCCCCCAAAAATCGGATTTTTTGCCCTTTTTTTGCCCTTTTTTGCCTCTTTTCGCGCCCCCTTGGGCCGGGGCTGCCAAAGCCGGGCTCGAAGCGCCCCCGGGGCTTGAATTTTATTGCGCTTTTTGTTTTTTCCTGCTTTCCTTTTTTTTCCCCCGTTTTTTCCGCAGGAATCGGAGCCGCCGGCCCCGCTCCCGGTTTATGGCGGTCACTTCTGGTGGTCAAATTCAAGTGCTGGGGCCCCGCAGGAAGCGGCCAAATCCCCGCCTTAAGCCCGGCTTTAAACCCTAAACCCGCCCGGAAAGCGCCGAGCCCCGCTCCAAACCCTGAGCCGGCCTTAAAACCTAAACCCGCCTTCAAAGCCCCGAAAAATCACCTTTACACCCCAAAACCCACCTTCAAACCCCCGAAAAATCACCTTTACACCCCAAAACCCGCCTTCAAAGCCCCGAAAAATCACTTTTATACCCCAAAACCCGCCTTCAAACCCCCGAAAAATCACTTTTACACCCCAAAACCCGCCTTCAAACCCTCGAAACTCGCCTTTAAAACCCCAAATTTGCCTTTAAAACTCCAAATTTGCCTTTAAACCCCAAACCTGCTTTTTTATACCCCCAAACCCGGCTTAAAAACCCCAAATGCCCACCTTAAACCCTCCTTTCAACCCCAAAATCCGCGTTTTACACCCCAAAATCCACCTTTAAACCCTAAACCCAGCTTTAAAACCCCAAACCCGCCTTTAAACCCCAAAAACCTCCTTTTACACCCCAAAATCCGGCTTTGAAACCCCAAAAGCTGCCTTTAAACCCCAAAACCCGTCTGAAAAACTCCCAAACTCGGCTTTAAAACCCCAAACTCGGCCTTAAAACCCCCAACCCAACAGCCAGGCTCGGCTTTAAATCCTTTTTCGCTCCGATTTTGGGGTTTGTTTGGGGCTTTTTGGGGTTTATTTGGGGCTTGTTTGGGGTTTGTTTGGGGTTTTTTTGGGTTTAATTTGGGGCTTTTTGAGGCTTCGGGATTTTAGGACCGGCTCAAATCCCCCTCTGGTTACAAAACCCGGGCCCGGAGCTTCCCGTGGGGTCTAAAACCCCCCCAAAAAAGTGAATTTTGAACCATTTTTTTCCCTTTTGGAGGGAGATGCTCCAGAGGAGGGAATTGAGGGGGGTAAAAAATAATAATGAAGCTCATAAAAGATCCCAGAAGATCTTTAGTTAGCTCGGGATTAATATCGCCCCATAAAAACCCCGCTTAAAGCCGCGCTGACACTTTAATTAAAAGTTTTGCCCCAAAACGCCAAAAAAATTAAAACCAAAAAAAAAAAAAATAGGATTAGGAACAGGGGAAAATTCCGGGATTCCGGCGCGGAGTGGCGGGGTTTTATTTGTTTTTATTTCGCTTTTTATTTCCACTTTTATTGGGATGCGAAAGGCTCATCCCGCAAGTCCGGGGATATTTATTTGTGTTTGCAGCCCGGCCCGGCCCCGCGTAAAACCAAAAAGGATTTTATGGGAATGGGGAGGACAAAGGCGAAGGGAGGGAGGGGAGAGCCCGAAATCCCCGGGAATTATTCAGCCGAGAATTCCCAAGAAATCCCCAAATTCCCCGGGATTTTTCTCCTCGGGAATTTCCGCCAGCTCCAGGGCTTTTCCCTCCAGGAAAATCCAATTTTTTCCCCTTTTTTCCCCGCCTCGCTGCGGGATTTGGGGATATTTGGATTTTCAGCTCCTCCGGGGAGGTTTTTCCCACTTTTCCCACTTTTTTTATCCTGGAATTCGGCGGGCCCTTGGGGAAAACCCCAGCTGAGGGTGGATGGGAGCGAAATAAATGGAATTAAACTGGGAGGAGCCGGCCCGGAGCGCCCCTGGGGGGCATTGGGGATTTTGGGGTGAAATTCCCGTTATTCGGGGGTGAAACCCCCACGATTTGGGGGGCATTTGTTACTTCGGGGTGAAATTCGGGAGATTTCGGTGTGGATTTGTTACTTTATTTCGATTTTTTATCTCAGGGAGCAAAGCGATCCCACGGCGGCCCTCGAGGCTTTTCCTCCTCCTGAAATTTCCCTTTTTTCCCTTAAATTTCCTGCTGGATTTGGGACCAAACCTCCCAAAAATCTTCTCCTCTCTGCTGCTTTTATTGGGAATTTCCATCCCCTTTTCACACAAATCCGGGATCAATTCCTGCCCAATTCCCCATTTTTATTCAATCCCATCCCAAAGTCCATTTTTTCGATTTCCGAGGGACACCCTGGAAATAAAAACTATGTAAAAAATGAAAAAAATCCGGATTTTTCCGAGTTTTTCCATCGGGGAAGGTTCGGAATTCCCAGCCCAGGGGAAATCCCGATTTATCCCGAATTATCTGGGGGAATTTCTCTCCTCCAGAACTGCGGGAAAGCCCCGATCCCGCAGGAAATTCAGATTTTTTTCATTTCCCGAACGATTTTTTTAAATAAAAACCCCTTTTTGTATTAAATTTCCCCGGTATCCGGCCGCGCTCCCATATTTCGATTTTTTTCGGGATAAATTCCAGCGGGACCGGGATCAGAGCGGGTTCCAGGCGCGAGACAAACGACTTTAATCAAAATCCTCTTTTTTTTTTTTTTCCTTTAATTTTAATTCGGGACCAAAGGAGGGCAGCGCCGCCATTGACTGACAATAAACCCGCGCATGAAATATTCAATCGCGGATAAATATTTCAGCCGGAAGGGAGAGTTTGGAATATTGATCAGGCAGAGGTTCCGCTCCTTTCTTTTCCTGGATGCACCGCGAAATCCGCAGCAAAATTCGTTAAAAATGTCGTTAAAAATATCATTAAAAATTCATTTTTAAATCCGTTTTAAAATCAGTTTTAAAGTCCATTTAAAATCCATGTAAAATAAATGTAAAAATTCATTTAAAATTCATTTAAAATTCATTTTAAATTATTTTTAAATTGATTAAAAACCCCGGGCCTGCTCCAGGTTTAAAGTTGGGAAACTTCGCGCGCTCCGGAGCGGGAATTTTTTCCATAAAAATCACGTGCAGAAGGAGTAATTAGCGTTTGTTAGGGGCTCGTTAATTAGCGCTAATTCCCGCGGCCGGGAGGGATCTGTAATTTCGCTGAATTCCCGTTTATTGGGGAAAAGTTCCCCCCGAAACCCCCGAGGTTTTATGGAGCTGCCCGAAGCTTTGCCAGGGCGGGAATAATAATAAATTAGAATAAGCAGAGTGACTCAAATCTTGATCAAAATGGGATTTTCCAGCCCTTGGAGCGCGCGGGAGGGGAAAATGGGGAAAAAAAGGGAGAAAATGGGAAAAAATGGGGTGGGGAAAGGGGGAGGAGGAGGAAAAGAAGGGGGAAAATAAGGGAAAAATGAGAGGGAAAGGGAAGGGATAAAAAGGGAAAAGAAAGGGAAAAGGAAGGGGGAAAGGGAAAAAAAAAGGGGGAAAAGGAAGAAAAAGGAAAAAGAGCAAAAAGGGAGGGAAAAAAATAAAAAAGGAGCGGGAGGCGGAAGGGGAAAGGGGAGAAGGAGGAAAAAAGGGGGACGGAAAAACGGGGAAAAACGGGAAGAAAAGAGAGCGAGAAGGGGAAAAAAGAGAAAAAAGAGCAAAAGGGGGAGAAGGAAAGAAAAGGGGAAGAAAAAAGGGGGGGAAAGACCAAGAAAGGGGAAAGAGGGAGAAAACCCAGAGTAAAATGAGAAGGAAAAGAAAAGAGAGAGAAGGGGGGAGGAGAGAGAGAAGAAAAAAGCGAGAAAGGGGGGGAAAACTGAAACAAAAGTGAAGAACAAGAAAAAGAGTGAAAAGAGAAAGGAAAGGAAAGAAAAAAGCAGAAAGGGAGCAGGAAAGAAAAGGGGGAGAGGGGGGAAGAGCGGGGGGAAAAAGGCAAGAAGGGGGAAAACGGCAAGAAAGGGAGAAAGGAAAAAAAAGGGAAAAAAGAAAGAAAAATAAAGAGAAAAAAGAGAAAAAGAAAGAAAAAAGAGAAAAAGAAAGAAAAAAGAGAAAAAGAAAGAAAAAAGAGGTTAAAAACCATCGGGAGAGGAGGGGATGAACCCCCGAGCCCCCGGGCCGGGCTCGCTGCGCGGCCGCGGATCCCGCGCAGCCGGGCTCGGGCGCGCGCTGGAAAAAAGAGAAAAAGAAAGAAAAAAGAGAAAAAGAAAGAAAAAAGAGCGAGAAGAGGAGGAGAAAGGTTAAAAACCATCGGGAGAGGAGGGGATGAACCCCCGAGCCCCCGGGCCGGGCTCGCTGCGCGGCCGCGGATCCCGCGCAGCCGGGCTCGGGCGCGCGCTGCCGGCCCGCG